AATAAAAAAAAAATTCAAGTGGCCGAATACTTTTTTGACTGACTGTATATATGTATCTGTGAAAACTAAGTTTGAAACATGTTGGTTGAATCACAGGAAAAAAATCATTTTAAAAATGTTTATCGATAAAATTCTAGATTGTTAACGTTGCATTTTTCAATTTCAATCGATAAATGTATAAAGACTAGTACATTCACAATATTTCCAATCGTTGGCTGGGTGTATTTCGAAATCGTCATCTTTCAAAATAACAATGAAACCAGTGAATATAAGGTTATATTTAGACTCAAGAAACCTAGATGTCATGTGCAATTCACATTTGCACTTTTCTAAATAGCTTTTTGTTTGGTTAAAGAATGGCGAATTCGGTAGCGAAATTTTTATCTCCTCCATAAACTTTTCATTGGCTTCCCATTTAATTATTATACCACTACTTTTTGTTTCGTCCAGCCAAAATGATGTATGTATCGGGAAGTTCAAATTTAGCAATTTCGAGTTAGAGTTTGGCCCTAATCTAGGGTGTAATTTAATTTGTGCTGGAATAGAAGCTATATAGCTGTCCTGAAGCTTATTTTCAAATTTGTTCCAATAAATTTTTTGAAACACTCTTACACGAGCTATAGCCTTTTCCCTTAAAGAATCTAATCCACGTTTTCTATTGTTTCTTGGGCCATATTTTTTTTTGCATTCTCGCAAAAAATCTTCGTCTAAACTTTCACTAGTTACACGTCCGAATTTCAACCTCTTCGAAATCTCATTTTGCACCAACTCGCTTAACCGTTTTGCTCGTTTAAACTTGGGTTTATCAATACTATAGCGTCCAAACAAATAATCCTCCATAAACTTTGTTACAGATGCGCAACGTTGCTCTTCGCAGCCAGCCAAACTCATTTTTTAACTTTTGATTAAACTACAGATGGTAATGGCTAGAACGCTTTTATAGATTTCAACACGAAAAAATAAAATAAAACAAATTGAATAGTTATCGGAAGATAACAGAAACAAGTGGTCATTTGCTAGATATAAAGCTATTTGCACAATCTCATCATACTCTCAGAACTCAAAGGAGGCAAACTAAAAAACATATAGTGTAAAACATCAAATTACCCACTGTTTTTTGCCATTGTAGGCAAAATGTCAGTTTACCTACATTGTTAATACAATGGAACACGGTTCCACCAAAAATGGAGGTAAACTGACATTTTGCTTACATGAACGCTTCACATAGCCTTTGTCCTTTGGAAACGTTTACCAAAGGTTATTTTGGACCTTTTTCTATCTGACTAGTATCAAGCATTTCCACTTTGGTTGTATGACTATGTTTTGGTTTTGATGTGCCTACTTTTGTAAATACTGCATAATTTATGAAAAGAGCCAGGTTTTTAATGAGGCGAGAACTGAAAGTTGTACTAAATTGGTGTAAATTATTATTATTATAAATTGATGTAACAGTCTTGCACTCTTTTCCGGCCAAACACTTATTTAAACCTCATTATATTCAGCCAAAGCTTGGCGGTGTTAAATAAAAATAAAATAAAATGGCAAAAAACAGTGGGTAATTTGATGTTTTACACTATATGTTTTTTTGTTTGCCTCCTTTGAATTCTGAGAGTATAGATATGAAAATACAATATTTAAACAATTATTGCTTATTGAGTGACGTTGAGCAATGGGAAAAACCCATTTCGCAGTAATTGCAACAAAGTTTCTAATTTTCATGAATCATTTTCATAAAACTATAATATGTACATTCGAAATCGCTGAGATGAAAAAAAACCAAACAAGATTTGATCTGTTGAAAATCGATTTTATGTTAACGGTATAGTATTCCAAATATATATTTAGAATTTCATCATCAAATTTTCAATGAATTGGAAACCGAGAGCTGTTTATCCAAAAAATTATCAAATCCAAATTGGAATACCAAATCGAATCAAAGCTCCATCAAAGCATGTTTTGCTTTATATACACATTTATTTGGTGATTTCAAATAAATTTATTTCAAATCTGAGACAACCCTGAGTGACTCAGGCTGAGTCACGGTCTTATTCTTTGAAATGATTGAGAAATGTATATATATAATAGTGAACGCACTCATACTAGCGGCCTTGCTTGACACACGGCGCTCAATATTCGGTACTCAATTTGGAATCAAATTAAATTGAAATCATTCACTCAAATAAAATTATATTTCATCCATGTGTTTTCGATTGGCTGTCATTGTTGGCATTAATTTCGTTGTATTCCTAGAAAAAAGAGTTCAAACATTTGCGATCATCACATTTACTTACACGCTTGTGCAATGTACGTGATAAATATGAGCTTCAAAAATGTGGTGCACTCAAAGCAAATAAGATGAGTTGTAAACAAGTCAAGTGGAGACATGTGTACTGTTTATAACCGAAAATATTCTATTTGTGTTTGTTTTGCGTGTTGTTTTTGTTTGAGACATCTCAATTCAGAATATTTTTCTCGAAATTTATTTCGCCTAAAAAACACGGCAGTGCATTGTGCAATTTTTTTCATCAAATTCAGTGCGCTGCAGTCATACTTCAAGTGAGAACGAAATAAGACTTCAAGCTTTAAAAATGACAGATACAATAAAATTCGTAATTTTTGCTTTAATCGTTATGGGTACGCTGGTGAGTAGGTATTTCATGGTGTTAGAAAAATCATTTGAATTTTAAAGAATTTGTAGCAATATCGATAGCATAACTAAATTATTTGAAAATAGTAGTGAGACCGCAATTTGTTAAAATTAATCTTTGCAACTCGAATCGATTTATGCACAATTTTAAAAACTCCCAAAATAAAAACGGTTTAAAAATTGTTGTGAGTGTATAACTTCAAATCAAAGAAAACTAAGCAATGCATTTTTTCATATATCAAAGATTTCAATACCAAATCGCCAATGTGCAGCACATAAAAAAGCACCACTTCAAACTAACGGAACACAAAAGGAAGCATCACATTCTCCTCCAGTAAATTTTGAGGTTCTGCAGACAGAGCCAGTCATTCAACCAAAGCAGCAACCACAAAGTAATGATCCGTCAATGCAAACGATACAGGAAGAACAGCCAACTCCAGATTCAGAAAGTTATGATGGATTTCCACTCAATCCCGCAGTTATAGCAACTGAAGTAAAATCTGTAATAAATCAAGTGGTTGATATGTGTGCTTCAGGCCCAAGTGTGCTCTACGATACAATATTCGGCCATTTGACATTTTTTTAAGCTTTATCCTAAGATATCTAAGCTTTTTCTAAGCTTTACCAAAGATTGCAAAATACTTTCTATATATCGATGTGCTGAGCTGAGTTAATTGACTCAGGCACTTATTATTATTGCGTTAATTTTATGAGTCCATCGTACAGAATCCATATTCAAATTATCTCTATAGGTGCCTAGATCAGGAAATGCAACTCAGTACAACGCTTTATAGAATGGACTTTGCAATCCCTGTCTACATCGACAATCTGTACAATATTTTATTGAAATTTTTGAGATATATCCAGTCATTTTGAATATTCTGAAGGTGGCGCCGTAAATTGTGTATTTTGACAGCATATGATGGACATTATTATTGCCAAAGAAGAAGAATTTCTTGGAATAAATATAACAGTAGATGATAAGTTCATTTTCAGTAAACCAAAAAATTAAAATTTTATTCATTAAAATAACAAAAAAAAAATAAAATAAAAACACCTTTGTAGTAAATATTCAATTTCAAGGTCATGTTGATTGGAATAATCGTGTAGTTTAGGAAAAAAAATCAATTTCGAATAAATCATTAAAAAAAACAAAACAATATCTTTTCATTTTGATTCAAATTCAATATGAATTCTATCCGAAGCCGACATTTTAACGGATTTCACAGACTCTTAGGCGATATTTATCAAGCTTTTCTGTTTCGATACTCGTCGAATTGCTTTTTTTATTTTAAACAAGAAGCAAGATCTACTAGAAACACTCTAATACAGTGGCGAGTGTAAAATTTTGCTCAAAATGGCCTCCAGTTATACTATCCAACAGAGTTCCATGTGCTCTGTTTATTAATTCAAATCTCACGATGACATATCACTTTGAATTGAATGTAAGTGACTGTAACCCCACCACTTAATGAGTCGGAAAATATCAATTGAGTGATAAGATACGACCAAATGTTGGAGCATAATTTTTTTGTCGATTCATCAACATGAACAGTTAGTTGACTTAGTGATTTATAAGGTTCAGAGATGACTTTAGCGCACTCAAGTGCGCTACAGCGCACCCGAATATTTTTATTGTTTTTTCGTTCTACTTTAGCTTTTTGGCCAGGATTTTTTTAAAAAATAATATTTTGTGTAACATAACGAAGAATAGCTTACATTTTCTGCCCCCGGTATTCGCATTGTGTGGTCATATGCACCTGGTAATTACGCGCATTGGCTCAATTTTGCAATATTACGCAATTTCTACTTTTGGGGATTTTTTCTTCATATTTTACTAATATAAATGTGGTTTTTCAAGAACTGTTCTTTGTTATGTTACACAAAATATTGATACAAAGTTTTTTTGACCATAATAGTATAACGAAGAAAAAAACAAAAAAACAACAACACAAATACTCGGGTGCGCTAAAGTCATCTCTGATAAGGGTCTCAGGTGACAAAATCACCAATCGAGATTTTTTTTTGGGGGAATTCAGTCGAAATTCGGGGAATATGTCTATTTTTTTAAAACAACTTTTTTTGTAGTTATTAGTATAGAAGTAAAGTAATAAGTAATATATTACTATTTCCTATTACTATTACAGGCTATTACAGTAATGGCTATTACATTTGAACCCGTGAGCATAAAAACAACGTATTGACTCTTCGCCGATGAATACGAAACGCAAAAAAATCGCCGAACAAAGTGAAACACCAATCTGTTATTGGATCAATATGAAGCATGAAATCGTTGGCTACTATTTTATTCACGTTGCGCTTTGTTTCGAAGCGCGGCAAGTGTTTCATTTTGTTTCAGTAACAGAACGTTGTATCACTTTGTTCGGCGACGCGCTCAATGTACTGTTTTGGAAAAATATGCATGATTTGATACAGTTTTGAGTCCATTGGTATGATGATTCATTTTAACCCTTTGACGACCAAAACTGAACGGCTGGGAATTTTGCAATTCTGATTGCAGATTCGTGCTCAGCGACCCCAAAAATATTAACAAAAGTGTTATCAAAAATTAATTTTTTTAATTGCAAATATGAAAAAAATGATGGGACATATGTGTCCCATTGGTCGGTAAAGGTAACTATTTACCTTTATTTTTCTATGAAAAAAACATGTCTCCCATAAGAACTACGTGTAATATCTTTTCCATTTTTAAAATTTATAGAATCGTTTTAAACCAAAAATGGTTTGAATCATGCTTTGTTGTGCCCATTTAATCATGAATTTAACGATCTTTTTGTAAATTTGTGTGTTTCAAAATTCGCGAAAAGTGGTTGAAATACAGGGAAATCAGTGGTAATTATTTACCTTTACCGACCAATGGGACACATATGTCCTATCACGCCAAAAGCAATAAAAATTTGAAACAAAATTTTTTGTAGAAAAGGCGATTATCCTTAGAAAGTAACAGACACTCCATACAACATTTCCAATTTTCAGCTTTAAAAGTTGTACCCTTCAAATTATATAGGGTTTGGCGGAATTTGAAAAAAAAGTTAAGATTTTTCGACTTTGAAGTGTTCTATTTGAGCACAGTGATGTAAAATATCCAATATTATGGTACTTTCTGATAGCTACATTCATTCTCTTTCAAAAGAAACCAATTTTATCGGAATCGGTCTAAAAATGTGGAAATTATTGACGAAAAATAAAATGGGACATATGTGTCCCAAAGGTCGTCAAAGGGTTAACACAACACCCATTCTATTTCGCTCACACTTACGTGCACTTTAACGTTGCTGAAACATGTACGTTCTTGTTTCTTTACTGCGCACATCTTTTTAACAGTAAAGCAGACTACTTTGTTATACGGGTAAAAATTGCACGTAAGTGTGAGCGAAATAGAATGGGTGTTGTGCGTCTGTGTTTTGGCCATGTATAGATTTCACTATATAAACCAATGTATTCACAGCGGCGTGAACCCGCGTTCCGAGGATTTCATACAAACTTCCCATGTAGACGATCCGAAATAGGCAAAATTCGAAAAAAAAAGTTTAAATTTTTTTTCGATTTTCATATAGTATTTTTTTCTGCTCTATTGGTGTTATCGGCACATCGAAATTCGCGCTCCTTATCAGTTAATTTTCACTTCATAGACAAATCACGACCAAAACCACCATTAAAATGAATCATCATACCAATGGACTCAAAAGTGTATCAAACATTTTTGTTTCAATTAAAGTGAAACACAATTTCTATAGTCAGCCGATATTTCACGATTCACTTTCAAGCGAACAGAATTTATGTTGCACTCGCACAAAACTGTATCAAATCATGCATATTTTTTCAAAACAGTACATTGAGCGCGTCGCCGAACAAAGTGATACAACGTTCTGTTACTGGAACAAAATGAAACACTTGCCGCGCTTCGAAATAAAGCGCAACGTAAATAAAATAGTGGCCAACGATTTCATGTTTCATATTGATCCAATAACAGATTGGTGTTTCACTTTGTTCGGCGATTTTTTTGCGTTTCGTATTCATCGGCGAAGAGTCAATACGTTGTTTTTATGCTCACGGGTTCATTTATCCTATTACTTTTCCTATTACTTTTGTAAAGGGTTAACCTATTACTATTACTAATTAAGTTCGAATGATTTGAAATGAATTTTAAAAATATTTCACAAATCAATCCCACCTATTCCACAAAGTTTGTCTTTTGAACGACTCGAACTTGGATTTGAAAGTTTCAAAAGATCAACTATACAAACCAGCCACTATGGAATTCGCGGCGCTAATAAACACAGCAACAAATATACCAAGACACACAGGAAATATTCTTACACTATGTGCAAGGGCCCTTAACACTAAATCTCTTGTGATAAAAAAAATCGCGGCTTTAAAATCCATGCTGACGACAACATTCGACCTGCCTCTAGTGGTCATACAAAGAACACACCTTGAGCGGTCAATATATACACAAAATACAGAAACGCTAGCATAGCATTTATACGGTTTGCGCGAAAGGCTACTTGATTATCGGCCATGCATACGCTTATGTCATTGAAATCTTCAACTATCACCACAAGCGTCGTGTCAGTAGAGTTCGTCTTATATTTTCATTGGAAATACGTGTTATTGTTGTTGCAGCTTCATCGCCGTGAAAAAAAACACTTCGCAATTGAATTACTTTTCAAAGTAGAATTTTTGATCCGCACTGATTGAGATATATAGGCAATGAGGCTCTGTTCTCTAACTTTACAGTCAACATCAACTCAGATGTTCATTTGATTTATTAACGGTTCAAGCTTAATCAATAGTCATGTAGATGATTGAACTGCTTTATTATTTGGTCATATCCAACATATGGTATTTTGTCAAATCACAAGCTGAATAATAACTAAACAATAAAACAAAAATGAACAAAAAAACACCTTTTTCATATGAATATTTGAGTCAAATTGTGTTTGAAATTAATTTCGTTTATTTTGAAGAAAAATTCGTATATGAAAACCAATAATATCAAAATGTCATTTGTTATTGTCGGTCAAAATTATTTCACATAGAACTACGTGAGATTTTCTTGCAAAACGAAACGACGAAACATCACAAAGTAAATTAATAATCTTCATCCATAATCGTATATTTAAAAAACATTGTCTGAATTGATGTCAATTGACTTGAGCGTTAGTTTTCAAACCACGGGCAAGGTCACAATTTATAGTGCTCCACGATACTGCACGTGGATATGAACACAGCTCAATTTATTTCAATTAAGACTTTTACAACGAATCTCAAATGTTGCGTTAATCAGCAAATTTATGGAACAGTAAATAAATCAATCTAAACTATGGTTGCTGTTTTAAATGACACCTTTCGAATGATTTGATTATTTGGTACACATTTCAACGAGCTTCCAGTCGGACTAGAATTCCGTCCCTCGGATACGACAAAAATGTTTGTGGATCGATAACAATTGGCTTGTGATTTGGCGATAATTTGATGTGGAAATTCTGAATGGTATAGGCCAAAGCAACTTTTATTTGAGCAATGGCAAAGCGTTGACCTAAACAAATGCGTGGCCCTAAAACAAGGATTCGTTTAATGCAAAATACAATGATTCAACCAAAACAATTTATTTAGACTTATATACCCTCGCCAAAACCTAAATATGTGCCTTTGTGACGATTACGTTGCTCCTCCTCATTAAATCTTGACGGGTTGAACGATTCTGGATCTGAATAATACTTTGGATCCCTATTTTGGTACGAAAGGTCGAGAAATATGGATTTATCATATCAAATATAAGTCCCATTGAGTATTGAAAAAAATGGAAAATCAAAATCAATGAAATATGCTTGGTTTCAATATTTTCTGACTTACATATGAATCCCCCACACGTTTATACTAACACCCATTCCCGGACTGATGGTGATCGGCTCTAATTGACCACTGGTTTTGGGCAGTGTATACGGTTTAGTACATGTCTTAGCCAACACAATCAAGGGTGGATGCATGCGCATTCCTTCATGTAATATACCTTCGACGTAAATCATCTCTTGAAGACCCTCAGCTGTTAATTTACCGTCATGTTTCGATATAACTTGTGTGATTTCATCTAAAGCCTTCTGTTGACAAGCCGGATTCAAAGCCAATTCATACAATGCATACGACAATGCAGTGCTGGAAGTCTCTGTACCATCAATAAACAACGAAAGTGTATGTCCAGCCAAAGAAGTATCATCAAAATCTGCGGAAGTAAAAAATCATCGATTATTACAATATATTTGACACTATTCTACAGTGAAATAAAATCTTACTATGTTTGGCTTGCAACTGAAGCAGAATTTGGAGGATGTCATGACTTTGGAAATCTTTCGATCGAGACGCTTTATTTGTGCCAACTAAAGTTCGGAACAAATGATCTATGGAAGCTGGTAGAAAACTATGGAGAAACAAAATCAAAATCACAATTCTTTAAAATATAAAAAAACACAAAGTGCATTTCAAAGTTTAGGTCAATGTGTCCAAAACTCATATTTTCGCATAAATTTACTTACGGTACTGGAATAAGATCCAATGCCCATTGTGGCAAAAGCGGTATAGACAAAAATTTCAGTGCCGCCATAAAGGATGGCGCAAATAGTCTTTTTCCAGCTTCCAAAAACTCTGACTCCTGTTCCTTGTTAAAACATCCCGGATCTATGCTAAATGTACACTTGATCACATTTTCCGTTGTGAATCGAACTGAAATCTACAGACAATTTCATTTAGATGATTTAATTCAGAACGGCTTGGCTAATGTAATGATTCATACGTCTTTCGCGTTGAAATCGGTATTAGTTGGGAATGATTTGATGTACTTGACAAAATCATCTCCGACACCATTCATCACCGGCATTATGCTTTTTATCTGAAATTGGAATAGATTGTTTTCCCTGATTACACATTCTACAGAATAGTTAAAATCGGTTTTACTTTGCTTTGAGAAAATGCTGATAAAATCATTTTTCGTCCCTCACGCCACTCTTCATCTCGCGTAAAAAATGGATTCGATGCAAATAATGGATCGTGTTTTTTGCTCAAGGCAAAATCATTATCACGGAAGCTATTGAAATTTGTGATCATAATGTCTTTGATAAGATCTGGATCACGAGCCAAAATCGTCGGTTTAAGCATCTTGTAGTATCCTATATAGGGTTCCGAATATTTTCTTCAAGACAAAGTGAATTAAGTGTTATGAGTTTCTTCCATTTTGGCAAGTATTTGGTTTGGAATCTTTTTTTTGCTTTCGATACATTCACTTCTAACTTCATAACACATAAACCCTAGATATTAAACTTGACCTACTTATACCAATCTGCCGTAATGACGCCCCAATGTTCCGAAAAAGTAAATGTTGATCCAATATTCCCAACGAACAGCGTTGGTTCTGGCCCCGGAACCTTATTCCTCTTCCAAAACGTATAATTCCATTTCAACCAAACGTAGAATAGCGTTAACGCTCCCAATAAAAACACAATCGTAAACATTTTGTTTCAAAAGACTTTCGCCGCTTTCTTTATCTTCGCACTTGAATTACTCTTCAATGTTGACTGTACGACGTGCACTTCTACACTGAATCGAGACAAGTTCTATTTCTGGCTTTATACTGTATGCCACTCATATGTTTATCAATTCATTACGATCGAGTCATGTTAAATCATTTAAGCCTCTCAGAGGGGGGGGGGGCGCAAGCCGGTTTTTTCAGATCTTTCAGATTTCACGATTCCCCGAAAACAATATTGTCGCAGAATATAGCTGTGCTCACGATTTTTTTTTATCAAGATATCGTAATAAACTAAAAATATCGTTCGATATCGTTATTATGATGGAATCTTAATAACGCTATCAACTTTTTATCAGGATATTAACTATATTCAAATAATAACGTTATCGGATGAATCTTAATAATATATTTTGGAAGTTATCAAGATCGAATCCTGATAATTTATCAACATTCAATCTTAATAATCATCAAGTTCTGGAAGTGGGTTTTGCTGGATCCTCAGGATCGACCAGAACTGCTCCCAGTTCTGGAAGTGGATCTTCAGGATGGACCAGATCCGGTTTGACACTGCCCTTGGACCATCCTGATAAAAAGTTGATAGCGTTATTAAGTTTTATCGGTATTATGATCGGATCTCAATAATCTCTCAAAATTATTAGGATGGTTATTAAGATACGAATATGGCACAGCTATATCGCAGAATTTTTTTTAGTTACGAATATTTTATTTTTCATGTCATACAGCATACAGAAATGGGACTAACATTTCGAATTTTTTCTATTTCATATATTTTAAGAGTGAATGCATAGAAAATCTGTGGTGTGATAATTATTATAAGAATCTTTTTTGAGTTTTTCGAAATGAGACAACCTCCAACTGCGAATGTGATGAATTTTGATACATAGAGAACACAATTGAAATTTTTTTCACAATTTTTCGATTTTTGAGTACACTTGTTCTACATACAAAAGGCCTTTTCTAATTTGTTGCTTCACACTTTTTGGAAATTTTGATGAAATTAACGTATATTTTATCGAAAACAATAGTTAAACTATACATAGTTAGGCTCAGAAAAACATTAGACATTCACACCGATAGGTTTGTTCATTTATCTCAAAATATGGGCATTAAATGAAAACAAATCGAAAAGTTAATGCGCTAGATTTATACTTCAAAAGATTATTTTTCTGCGATAATTTTCGCTAATAACTATAGAAGTAAAAAATTGTAATGCCTATTACCTATTACTATTACTATTACTTTTGTAAAAAAAATTACCTATTACTATTACTATTACTATTACATGTAATAGGTTTACCCTGTCACAAAAGTAATAGGAAAAGTAATGGGTAAATGTAATAGCCTGTAATAGTAATAGTAATAGTAATGCCTATTACTTTCCTATTATTTTTTCAAATTTTTTTTTTCCAAAGTTTCATATAAAAAATTTTTTTTACGCCAGACGCATTTTTCATAAGAAAAAATGAGTCTGGCAAAAAAATCTAAATTTTTTACATGAAACTTTTTCTTAAAAAAAATCGGAAAGTTTCATGTAAAAAATTTAGATTTTTTTGCCAGACTCATTTTTTTTCACAAAAAAAGCGTCTGGCGTAAAAAAATTACTTTTCCGCACGACCATGTCGTGAGTAAAAGTATTGTAATCACTCCAAAGCCTAGGTACCCCGAAAAACCATTTTTCTATCCATTTTCGACACCAAAAAGCACGATACAGTAGTTATTTTGCTATGTTAATGTGGGTGTGTCGTACCCTGTACGCTGTACGCTGTACGCAAAAATTTGTTAGCGCGATTGCTCAAATACCAGAATGGGAAATGAAATTCTGCAAGTACCAAACGTTTGTGCTTCGTTAGACTTGGAAACCATTAAATTTTCAGCCACCCCAGATGTACCCTAGGATACCTAGCCTATGAAAAACCTTCAAAAAATCGAACTTTTGTTCGGGAGGTACCCAAAATAGGCTCCCCAGGTGGATTTTATCACTCCCACTAGATTTATTTCATCAAACTAATAGGGGCCCAGGAACAACCTAGCACCCTCTAACCCACCTTTTTGGTATTAAATCGATATGTTAGTTCAAAATTCCTTGAAAAATCGAACTTTTGTTCGGGAGGTACCCAAAATAGGCTCTCCGGTTGATTTTATCACTACCACCCGATTTACAGTAGAACCTCGATTATCCGTCCTCCCATTATCCGTCACCTCCGTTAACCGTCACACCTTTTCAAGGTAGAAAAGTTTTTTTTCAGTTCATTTTTCAGTTTATTTCACTTGAACATACGAATAAAGTTGCCAACTAACTTTCATAATCAAAATCAATTGTGTGCCCCTTGTACATTCGCACAATAAGATTTGAAATCAGAGGCTTTGCGTTTTCGGTACACTTCTCGTATATACAAGATTGTCCAATATTTTGGACAATACACCAAATCTGTTCTCATATCCATTATATATTTTTTACATCACCTTGTTTTTCATCATAAACTAATTAGAAAGTATGGAAATTTTGATTATTTTGTTCTATTTATATGAAAGTCTCGATTATCCGTCTTTTTCGATTATCCGTCAATGCGCTGGTCCGGTGCCTGACGGATAATCGAGGTTCTACTGTAATTCATCAAATTAATAGGGGCCAGGAACAACCTAGCACCCTCTAACCCACTTTTTTCGTATCAAACTGGTATAATAATTCAAAATTTCTTGCATTTTTTTGTTCTTAATTTTGTTAAAAATCGCGCTTTCGTAGGAGAGTTTCAAATCACTCCTTCGCTGTTTGCTCATTCATGTTGTTCTATGGATTCGAAGGGCTGCCATATAAATACAATGTAAAAAAAGACGCGTTACGATTTTGGTCAAGAAAAATGTGGTTATTTTAAATGGTATTTTTTTCAACTCGTCACATTTTGTTCCAATTTTTCAATTCCAAATCAATATTTTTTTGCATTTTCATTCAATAAAGAGATAAAAACATTTGAATCAAATTTAAAACGAATTTTGGTTTAGTTTCTGAA